GAAGGAAAAGAACATGAGTTTAGTATCACTCTCAGACCTGTAAGTCATTAGTTTTGTTATGATATAGTACCAACGGAGTCACTGTGTGTAGTCAAATGCGTTGGTTCTTATTCCATCTGTACTGTAGAATAAGATTATCATTCTTCTGAGCTTTACAGAGTTCTGTTACTTGCTTGCAGCTGCAACCGCTGGTTCCAGTGCATCAATTCGACCAGCTTCCAAGTTATTATATATTTGCGGGCTTTGTATTCGTACCTCTCACTCAGCCTTACCTTCATGAATATGGAGAAGATTGGTACAACACTTGTCCCCGCAGATTGTGCGAGCGTGCATTAAGAGACTTACCTGAAAAATCCAATCAACAACTTGTCATTATCTCTCAGGTTTGTGCTTTTCCTTTTGTCTAATTCTGATCTCGAAGTTTGGAATTTTAGTGTCCTGTCAACACATATAACAATGGGGTCTCGTCATTTAGGCACCTGACTGATGATTAAGTACGTGTTTGATAGGTGTTAATGGATGATATCAACACAGGATTTGAGCGCCTTGCAGAGCTGCAAGTAAGTATAAAAAGCGATAGTCTCATTTTTATATGATCCTCTTGTCATTCTCTGTATCCAAGCGCATCATGATTCATTTTTGGAATTAGTAATTAAGATAACAGAACATCATCATAGCATTCTGATAAATGAAATGAAACACTGTTTTACTACATCAGGTGAAGAAAGTGAATGGAGTGGAAGTGGATAATCTGAGACATTTATGCCAGCTCATAGAGAACTGTGACACAGAAAATCTGAAATTGGATTTAGACGATGGTAGAGTACTCGCCTTGAAGTACCGAGACGCAAGATTAGCCACTTCTATGATTTTGAAACGGCACAGAATAGCGTCTGCCATGTCCAGCGATCTGCTGATTGAACAAAATAATCCAGTAACCGAGTTGGCTGCTTCTTGTTCTACTGCGGCTGTTTGAGCCAAACGCCAATTGCATGTTGTATGTACACTTTCACATTCATTCATCTATTTTCAGACCACATTGTTGTAATGTTCGTAAACATATTAGGATTTTTAAATCGGATTTTTTCCCCTTTTAAATATTTTTTTACATACATCCCTTCAGACACTTTACTTGATTCGCTATTTTAAAAAAAACATATTAGTATAGAAAACTAAATTCTTTACCCTACAAGTAGGGGTGGGCGTTCGGGTAACCGTTCGGGTTCGGGTCGGTTATTTCGGATTTTCGGGTATTTCGGTATTGGGGTATAGAACCTGTTCGGGTATTTTTACATATCGGGTTGGGTTCAGATATTTTTAGTTCGGGTTCGGTTATTTCGGGTCGGGTTCGGATATTTAGATTTTGAAAGAAAATTTCAAATTATTTATTACTTAAGTTTCATGTATTTAAAATTTAACTATTAACTTAACTGTTTTTAAAATGTTTAATAAGTTAGACGATTAATAAGTTTGAAAATAAATTATTGAAAATAAAAATCATTAATTTGGTTGTTATTTTTGAATTTTGGATGCAAATTTTGTTTAAAATAGGAAATAAGAAGCTTAATATGCATTTTAAATGAGTAACAAATTTTTTTTTTTACAATTATATGTATATTATCTGATCTTAAATTATATATAACACTAATATAAATATTTTTTAATAAAATGAGACAAATAAACTAGGAATAAATAGGTATATATACATATGTTCGGTTATCTTCGGATACCCGTTCGGGTTCGGGTAATACCCGTTCGAGTTCGGATATCCAAACTCTCCTAACTCAATACCCGTTCGGGTATTTTGCTACTTCGGTTCGGATTTCGGTTCGGATATTTCAGGTTGGGTTCGGGTACGAGTTCGGGTATCAAATAAAGTGCCCACCCCTACCTACAAGTATGATCTAATGTCGAGACATCTAATGTGAATTCAATCCCAAATCTGGTTAGCGCGTAGAGGAACTAGAAGCCAGAGACTTTTTGTCTTCTTCCCCTTTCATTACTACTTTTAATTTTTTAGTCATTAAAAGAAACAAAAATACCTTTCCGTGTCTTCTGCGACCTGTCACATCCGTACGTGCACCGTGAAAGACGAAACTACCCTCCATGACTCATCATGAGTGTCTCTCTTAAGGTCTCTGTCTCTTGCTTAACTCACTCAGAATTGGCGGAAAAAAAAGAGAGCTTCTCATTATTTTTGTCTGTGTGATGATGTCGTCGTCGTGGGAGATGCAACTAATGGAAACGGCTAAGGAGGAGCTCGAGATTCTTCAGGCTCAATATCCCAACCGCTTCGCCTACCTCAAGTCCGACCTTCAGTCTTTCATCTCTAACCTCCGTGAAGACCACGCGCCTCCGTCACGTGCCTCCTCCTCCCCTCTCGTCCTCACTCAAGGTACTTTATGCGTTTCTTCTGTTCCTTCGGCTGCTTGTCGTGTGCTTAAGTATATGGACTGATAATAAAATCTGGTTGAAAAGGAAATGCTTCATAAATGAGAAAAATAAACAATAAAAGATTTATTCCTTAATTATTTTGGTTTAGTGGTAACATTTTAGATAACTATTAAGATTGTTTTTAGTCAGATTATTTGACAAACCTTTTCGGTCGTATATTCATGTATTCCTGGTGTTTCAAACAAAAGTTTGATTTTCCCATGCCAAAATTTAATTGATTTTAACAACACTTTTTCAAAGATATTCTACAAGACATAAATATATTATTTATATCGGACCCTTCTATTTGGTTATGTTTCCAAAATATATATACTCTTTGTTCACTTTGGATAAAGTTATAAAGCCTTTATGATTTCTCACTAGTGCAATGCGATTGTATAAATTGCCATATCATGAAAATTTTGGTTTTGATAATTTTTTTTTGTCAACGTTGGTTTTTGATTTCACAACCGCAATAACGTTTGTTTCTCTGAAAATAATTTTTAAAAAAGGAAGTCGATTTTCATATATTTTAGGTAATTTGTTAGTCTCCTTAATTGTCAATTTTTGTTGGGGAAAAACGCATTTTAAATCTTGAGACTGACACTTACATATACTTTACACCTTGAATTTTTTCACTTGCATTTTTTAACTTTGAAAGTAGCAATTTTAACATATCAAATCTAGAACATTCTTCCCGCAAAAAAAATTGATGACATGTAAATACCAAGTGTCGATAAATGATGATTTGTAGAAATGACTAGATTATGTCATTTACAAAAATATAGTTTTAATTTTTTTTAAATGAATCTTTTTAGAAAACTGTATTTATAAATTTATTTTTTAAGAAGTTTTTAAAAATTATAAAATTAACAAAAAATTAAAAATTTGAAAATTTTAATCTTTTGGAAATCATATGATACCATGCTATTAAAATTACAAAAACATTAATATATATAATTCAATCATGTAGGGGATGAACTCTCGCATTATAAAAAAAAAAGGAGTGGCGATTGTAATAATTCATATATAATTTGATTTCTAAATATTGTAAACAGAAATTATAGTATATTTATATTTCTCTTTTAATAATTTTATAGTCGATATACTTTTTTATAATTTTTTTTACTTCTTTGAATTTTAATTGTATATATTTATATTTCTCTTTTTATAATTTTATAACATGACATCTAAGACTTTCAAAAGATTAAAATTTTCAATCTTTAGTTGAATTTTTGTTAATTTTGTAGTTGTTATAAATTATAAATATATTTTTTTTAAAAAAAATACATGTCATTGATATTTATCTAGTCATTTTGTCAAATTATAACTTATTGATACCCCATATTTTCATGTCATCAGTTTTGTGGCAATAAAGAAAGTTCGAGGCTTATTTAAAAGCTACTACTTTGAGAGTTAAAAATGCTATTGAAAAAAATTCAAAGTGTAAATGTTAGTAAGAAAAATTAGAATACCATTTTTTCCCTTTTGTTGTGCACGTTTTACACTATTATGATAAGTACATATGGTTTCTTGTTTCTCAAATGATGTAAAACTATTATAAAAAGTACATATGTTTTCTTGTTTTCAAATGATGTATTCACCCGAATGTAAATGAATAAATAAATCAAAAGACTATCGTTATGGCAATGCATATAGCTTGTGTATACATAACTCTTGTGTATATCAACAAAGGTGACTACTAACCAGTTAACGATGAACTATTTGTTACCTTATCATATTTACTATCATGACATTATCTTCTATTATGTCATGAATCATAACTCATATTTGAATATTAGTGTAGGAACATAGGGGTCATCAAGTCAATTCAAATCTAGATTTCGTTTACACATGATATTGTGTTAGCCGCAACTAAGTTTTGTTAATGCGTTGAACAGAGTCATCAAACTGTAAGAATAAGCAGAAACACAAGAAAAGAAGGTACACAGATGACTTATTTGGAGATCAAGCATCGTCATCAACGGGAAAGATCCACAAGAATAATAATCATAAGATGGCCGAGAGAGTGGTCACAAAGAGAAAAACTAGAGTTGAAATGGTTCTTGAAAGGGCTCAACTTTGTCTCCAGAAGATAAGAGACGTGAAAGCCTCTTTGTGTTAGACTTTTATTTAACAACTTTTCTTCTTTTTGGGGGTTGAAAATGTAAAAACGATGTTTTACGGTCCAAGACAATGTTTAACAAGTATTGAAAATTCAATGTTTCTCAGAACATCGGTTTAAATAGTTCAGCAGTATATATCAGTCTTTTCTTTTCGGGCAACGATGAGAAAGAAATCAACATTCAAATAAAATGGATATTATTTATTAATTTATTTACAAGATGACAAAGTGTGAAACAAAAACGTTTATTGGAAAACAACAAACAAAAATAACGGAGACTGAACGTAGGGTGGGGGAGGACTCAACACTCAACCCCCTCCATTATTAATGCAAATTCCGAATTAAAAAAAATTGTATATATTAAAATACTCAACCCTCATTATTAATGCAAATTCTAAATTAATAAATTTTATGTATTAATGTTTTAAGCTTAAAAATGAAATTAAAATCTAAACCTGAATTTGCAGTTACTATTTCTAACCCTAATAACACTGTTAGCAGCCAAGCTATCAATGAATACACCACACCTCACCGAGAATTTTACTTCGGGCAGCTTTAATTTCCCAAGCTTGATCCGAACCGGTTGGGTTACTCTAATCCGCAATGGTATGCTTCCAGTTAATTGTTGCTGCTCTAGCAATGTCTCCATTAAACTCGTTGCATTTTGAGTATAACCAGTCATTTCTACGAATATAATGGTTGTATTCTCACGTCCTTGGTAGAATTTCGGCAACGACCCTGTAAATATTGCAAAATCCGATTAGTCCTTCAAATATACCCTGCTCTTTATTTTTCGGACATCAAGATTTCGTCAAAAAGTCCAACTAATCTTGTGAGTGAATACAACTTTAAGTTGGTAGTTCTCAGTAAATCATACACTAAAACATAATCCAAGTGATCAACTGGTCCACGAGGAGTGTTTATACATGGTGAAATGGAACTCGAGCTATAGCGAGTTTACCCCTTTGGTTACATCTGCTCCGAGTGTGTTTTCTTTAGGAAAAATAAACACAACTAAAATAACCTAGTTATAAAAACACTTTTTACGACGTACCATTGCTAAGTTTGGTTTGCATGTACAAGACGCTAATTTTGCTTCCGTCTTCATAGTAAATTCCGATCTTCTCGTTAGGATTTTTGGCTGTAATTGTGACGTTAAACGCAGTGGACAAACTCGAATCTTGCTTATTGAGTGTATACCGGGTGAGCTGTAACCGGTCGATATTGTAATCCGGTAACTTGGGTCTAAAGACAAGGTAGAGTATACCAACAGCCGCTCCTACGACGACAATAAGGAGAAAGAGGACGAGGAGCGTGTAACACACACACCTACACCAACAGCTTCTCCTTCCTTTCTTCTTCCTTTGAGGAGAATCCAACCGTGGTGATTGCGTCACAGATTTTTTGGTTGGGTCACCGTGTTCCGATATTGAGGCGCCACGTGAAACAAGAGGAGCCGTTGGATGCGTCAGAGGTGGTGGAGCTTCCGGATCGCTCACTGGATGGATTTTCTGATGCTCGTACGACATGTTTTGACGTTCTTCAAAACTGGCTTACGTTTTGGGGATTACAACTCAAGTACTCTCCACGTTTTAGAGGTAAATAACGATCGTTTTAATGGAGAAGGGATCTTCTTCACGTTATCTTTTTGATTAATTGTATTTATAAGCTGTCATGGCATGGGCTTAGCGTAACCAGGGGCCCTTAAGTGGACGCTTAAAAATCCTGTCATGGCATGGGCTTAGGCCCGGTGGGCTAGTCGATCACGCTTAGTGGTCGGATACTGGGTTATCAAAAAACTAAGCTGTCTTTGTTAGGTGTTTAATTTGTTTAAAAGTAGTGTCTTCACGAGGAGACAAATAATTAAACATTTAAATTTTCACATAGAACGTGTCCTTTTGGATTACTTGTGCCTTTTTAGACCGTAATAGTTTGGGGTTCAATCAAGACTGTCATCTGGGTGTCAATTCTGGGTTCCGCAGACGTAAAGGTAAAGATGAAAGTTCGTGCATGGTCTGCATATACAACGGGTCAGTGGTCTACTAAGATATATTTTAATAAAGATATATTTTGTTGTAACTATTGTCTTTTTTTCTTAAAATGTTGCTTTTATGCCTTTAACTTTTGTGAGATTGATATATCATGAGATATTGCTAAGATATAGATATTTAAGTTTAATTTTGCTATAATAAAAGTACTATATATATTAAATAATTATGTTATATATTATAATTATTGATTGATATTTTACTTTAATTTTTAAATTATTTTATAATATATATATATTTAATATTAATAATATCATATTATTTTAATTAGACATGTGATCTTGAATATGTAATATCTAGTCAAGTTAGTTATTACTTGGATATATTGGATTACATTTACTTTTTGATATTCAATTATGATATTTTTGCTCTAAATATATTAAATTTTTGATTATTTTTATTTGCTTTTCACTTGGTTATTTTCTTAGATACGTAAATACATCTAAGTAAAATTAAGTATAACTTCATATATATTGATTTAAGAATAAAATAGAAAATAAACTAAACTGTTCAATTTATTATTACATAAAAGAATATAACGATAATATTTTGAAGTCTCATACATATATATATATTTTTTTTACAAAAGAACAAAACTGTAAATATTGGTCAATATTATATTTTGATTAATAGATTTTGAGTCATCCTGGAATATATATATATATATATATATATATATATATATATATATATAAAAGTAAAAAAAACATTGTTATTAAAATAATATGTTCTTATTTTAGTTATATAATTGAATTTAGATATAAGAAACTGGATTAGCTCAATTACTCATTTTGTGAGTACATTGAGTAATATATATTCTTTCAAATTCAGATTGAAGTATAACTAATCTTGATTCTAGTTAAACCAATCATATATTTTTTTAATCGCATTAGTTCAGTTCTTCATTGTTAGATGTATAAGCATATTTTATAATATTTTAATAGTTTTATATATATATATATATTAATTTTTGAAGAAAAAATAGAAAAATAAAGCAAGGATCAGTAAGAAATGGCATAAATGAACATAACTGATAATTCTTTGAAAGCTCATGAATACAAAAATTTATTTACAATAATTATTTATAACTTTTAAGTAATGTTACACCTAAAATATACTCCTTCCGTTTCATATTAAGTGTCGTTGTAGAGAATTTTTTTCGTTACAAAATAAGTGTCGTTTTCGGTTTTCAATACAAAATTTATTAACTTTATTATGTAATTTGTTTTTCTATTGGTTAAAATGTGGTTATGTGTATAGATAACTGTGTTTTTAAATAGAAAATATGTAAAATTAATTGTTTTCTTAATCCGTATGCGTAGCTTTAAAATGACACTTATAATGAAACAGAGGGAGTATTAAAAAGTAAACTGCAAATTATTTTAAACAATCTCAAACATAAAACTTAAGATTTTCTTGGTATTTTGATTATGAGTATACTAGATTATAATAACATAAAGAAAAATAAATTTACATTCAAAAAAATATTAAGCAAAAAGATGTTCTTGATAATGATAACATATAATATTTTAGTTCATTAAAATTATCGATTTATGCTATTTAATAATAATTTTGTAATTATTTGATTAAAAATATGCTTACAGTAAAAGATTATTTTTCAATTTCCTTTTTAATATCTGTTAAAAATAAATACCAATTTTTTCGTGTGATTGTTTTTCAAAAATCAGATTATATAAGTAAATTATTTTATAGATTTCTTTTCTGTTTTATGGTAATTATAAGATATTCATAGTCAGCTAAAGTTCTGAAAAAGGAAATAAACATCTACAGTACTATATTTTTTTTTTTAACACTGGTTTGTATAATGTGATGAGACTGGTACAAATGAACCAAAAATAAGACGAGATGTCAAAAGACACCATCTCACAGTGAAAGTAACAGAAAGTCCTCACCAACTCCTTATTGCTGATTCTCCAGAGCGAGTAGATGATGCATCCATGTCGGCGCGTTACGGGCGATGTATGACTGAAGACGCTGATCACGAGTGACACTTCCAGCAATTGTCATTGCAGCCACATTGCGATCGGGAAGGACATGATCCAGACTCCAGGATACTACTCTTGCCAAAAGGAAAGAAATATTATGGCGAATATGGCTAAAGCTCTGCTGATCTCCATGGTGTGTAAGTACGTTGCGGAGACTCTCCGAAGAAGTCTCAAAAATAATATTTGAGAAATGTAAATTATGTAAACATTCAACCGCCCAGAAAAGAGCCCACAACTCCGCCTCCGTTTTTGTTCGCATGTAAGAATAGGCTCACCGGCTATGCATAATTGTACACCCATTTTCATCGCTTAAGATCCATGAAGCCCCACTAATATGATTAGAATTCACCCATGAAGATCCGACATTGCATTTGAGGAAACCATTAGGTGGCTTTTTCCACCGGACCATTTCCGTAACAACTTCACTCTCATTGATTCCATTCCTCGTTCCTGAGAAAGTATCAAACCATGTGGATTCTTCTTCATAAGCCTTCTTAGCACTGAAAGAGGACTCAATAACTTTGTTCTCAAAAATGAACGCGTTCCTAGCTTTCCAAATTTCCCATAGCAACCATAGAAAAACATTCCTTATATGTATATCTGTAGACGAACTCGTACTACACTTAATCAGATGCACAAAATTTAAGAAGGTAGAATTCCGAGAAAAACCTCCAACGGGAACTGGGAAATTAGATTGGTTCCATGTAGCACGTGCTTTAACACATGTAAATAGCACATGACATATACTCTCAGCACCGTTACCACAAACAGGGCACGTTGGATCTAATGGAATACCCCGAGTCGTCAACCGTTATCTAACCGCTAGCGCACCCGAGAGAACCCTCCACATAAAGTGTTTTATTTTTGGTGGAGCTTTTGTTTTCCATATATCTTTCCACAGTTTTCTTTCAACCAGAGTTAGTGAGTGGCCTTGAGGTTGATCAAAATCAACCAATGCCTCCAATAATTTATATCCGCTCCGTGTAGAGTATAGTCCACTTGATGTGAAACCCCATCTTTGCGAATCCTCAAGGTCCAGGGATGGTTTTAAGAGTAATATCCATTGGATATCCTGCACTACAAAAGTCTGGTGTAGCAATTCCACATTCCATTGGTTAGAACCTTGCAGAAGTAGGTCTGAGACTTTTAGCGCTAAATATATTGAGCTATTCTCACGATACATTGGAGGTCGCGGGACTGTGTCAATGATCCAGTTTTCAGCCCAAACATTAGAATTCACCCCATTTCCAATATGACGGTATAATCCCTTTTTGAGTAATTCCCTACCATGCATGATACTCCTCCATGCATATGACGGACGTGTCCCCATTCCACATTCAAGAAAATTACCATTTTTGAAATATCTCCCTTTAAGAGTTCTAGAAACCAAAGAATCCGGCTTATTCTAAATCCTCCAAGCTTGTTTCCCGAGCAGAGCCTGATTGAAACGACCGATGTCATGAAACCCAAGACCCCCTTGTTCTTTGGGTTTACATAACTTTCACAAGAGACCCATGAGATTTTCCTTTTTTTATCCCCACTACTCCACCAAAACTCAACAATCGCACTCGTAATTCGTTCACACAGACCATTTGGTAACTTAAAAACTGACATTGCATATATCGGTAATGCTAATGCTATCGATTTTATTAAAACTTCCTTTGCCCCCATGGACAGAGTTTTAGAGTACCATCCGTGTAACCCACCTTCTAATTTTTCTTTGATAAAATTTAGAAGATCTTTTTTTGAACCTTGAAAACATTCAGGGAGGCCAAGATATGAACCTTCACCACCTTCCTTCTCTATTCCCAATATCCTTTTTATTTCATGTTTTGTGTCATTGTTTTTTTTTTTTCCAAAAATGATTGATGATTTCGAAGGATTAATCATTTGGCCAGAAGCCTCCCCATAAAGTTTTAACCCCTTCAAAATTTCCTCACTATCCCCAACAGAAGCCTCACATAGCAACAAGCTATCGTCAGCAAACAACAAATGATGAATCGAGGGACATTCCGTAACCAACTTTATACCATGTAGTTTCCCTTGTGCTTCAGCTCTATTCAAAACATGGACTAAAGCTTCAGCACACAAAATAAAAAGAAAAGGTGACAAAGGATCACCCTGACGTATTCCTCTCTCCGGTCTGATAAATCCATGTGATCTTCCATTGAGTAACACAGAGAATGTGACTGTAGAAATGCATGACATAATCCAAGAAATCCATTTACGATCAAATCCCATTTTTTCCAGTAAAACTTCCAGGAAATTCCATTTCTACCCGATCATAGGCTTTTGACATATCCGTCTTAATAACCATGCTTTCTTTACCTATTTTCTCATTTGTTCGCAGTCCATGTACCAATTCATGCGCTATAATTACATTGTCAGTAATTAATCTGCCACCTACAAAAGCTCCTTGAGTCTCTGAAATTATATCAGGCATTACCACCTTCATCCGACTACATAGGATCCGAG